TCACAATATGATCCTGGCCACTGTTCATTAAGAAAATTCATGAATAAACAGTTAATATTCAAATTTATAGACCAAAAATTCTGGTAAATTTAAAAGGCTTAATTACCTGTTGAACAAAATAGAAAAAATCGAAATCTTGTGCAGAGCATAACACCAATAGGCATTGCAACAGCAAGAACTTCACGAAGATGGCGCCGTCGAATTTCATCTCCATTATTATCTATATTCCTATTTTCGAGTTTTGTTCTCTTGTACTGAGTTCAGTTGTGGATTATACATCAATTTTTTGCCATATTTATAGCCAAAATGAATAGATGTGAACATGTATTGGCTGTAATATGAAAATAATCAACTTATTGTGTCCTTTAGATGTGAAATTGAGTTCAATGATTATTAAAAATCGGCTTCCCAGTTTTTCTTTCGCTTCTTTGATTGAGACAACATAGGGGTCGAAACACAGCTTCATAAATGGAATCAAATTCGGAGCCCAACAAAAGTAACGGTATTAAGTGTATTGACAATTGAGCTATCTTTCACACACTATTTAAAATAATGTCACTCTTAACTCATCATTTCTTATCTCTATTCTAAATCTATAAGACGCGTGGCCATCTCCTAAGGAGAACATGTCGGAACCTCATGAATTAGTACGAGGATTTTACTTGAGACGCTTTTTTAATTGTGCATTTTTGTTGATTTTTTGGTAGCCGAAGGGGGATGAACTTAACTTTGGATTCGAGGTCCAGATATTTCTCTGCTAATCACAATATTTAATGGCAAAAGTCTATTAGTTCTGTGTGTGAGGTACAGCAAAATAGTTAATCTATAAGGTTCTGATAAGCCTAATTTTTCAAGGAAAATGGAAAATGAATTTCATTTCTCACTTTTTTCCTTGTTTCATTGACAAAATTAGCCATTGAATTGTCTTTCATTACTTGTGTCACATCAATCCATTTTCCATGTTTTTAAGGAATTGACTTTCTTGCCAAAGTGGTGGGAATCCATTTTCTTGGCAAAATGGACTTGCTTTATTTTTTTTAAAAAAAATTTGGTAATTGAAAAAAATTTTAGACGCGATGGTAAAAAAATTTATCACTTTTATTGACAATTTTCTTGCAAAACGAAGTCAAACGAATGATATTCGGTATGGTAATTTTTTTTAAATTTNCAATCAAACGGACCCTAATTGTTATGGAGAGAATAATGATCATTGGACAGGTTCAATAACAGGGATGGAGGAATAGGGTGATGTGACAGATAAAAATTGGGTGTTGTGTTGTGTTGTGTTTTGTTTTTTTTTTTTTTTCTCAAGTTGTCCAATTATGTGTCGACATGTATTTCCCCATTTTTGGGTTTGTTTGTGTAGCATAATTGTTACGGAGAACTGAATCATAATTTATTGTATTAGTTGAGTGTCTAAGACTACTAATAATTATATCACACGTACATGGTCCTAAACTTTGGCTCCAATGTCAAGCCCCTGATTGATGAGAACCAAAATTAAATTTTTAGTAGAATTTAATATAAGTTGATGAAATGTGTGGTTGAAAAGTTATGGAACCATAAAATATGTAGTTGAAATGAATTATTGACTTTGATTTAGATTAAAATATAGATTTTAATAAGTACCAAACATAGGCTTCTTCAGGAATTTTTTTTTTTTTTTTTTTTTTAAAATTTTGTTCACTAAAACAAATTCTCCATATCAACGTTCTTTAGATCAAGCTAAAATTGTATTCATACTGAGCCAAAAATATTTTCCTGTGTGATTTTATTTGAGAATCACAAAAGAAGGGTAATTTGTCCCGATATTCATTTTAATAGACTTACTTGTGACAAGATATTAAGAAATAAAATATATATTAAGGTATGATATTCATTTGAGCTGCAAATGTTTGCTAAAATAGGACCTGTAAACATTTTTATGCGTGTCTAATTGTTCTTGCAAACGTTATCAAGAGAAGTTGAGCACAAGAATCTTTTCTCTCTTACTAGTTTTTGGCCGGTGCAATGCACCGATCGTGTTATTTTGAAAGTAATGTCAGCGTGTTTGATGTTAAAAATAATGAGAGGTGTATACTTTTATTCAATAAAGATTGTTACTTGTTAGGTAGATTAATATGTGTGGCTAGCCAATTAAGTACAAAAATCTTTTCATTTCAAAGATCTCCATCTAATTTCATAAAAAGAATTATCCTATTTTGTTTTTCTTTCCAAATAAAAAGAGGTTAAAGTTCTAATTAATGCCCATAATCAGAGTAAAAAATGACCTCTCTCAATTGGGAGCTGAGGTTGACACCAAAAAAATAAATAAAAAATCTTATTATATGTCTTGCTCCTCACACAAGCAACTATGTTGGGGAATGAGGTAATGAGAAGTTAACATACCATTTTCTACTCTTATTCATTTGTGTTTTTTTAAGATCTCATAGTCAATCCTATTCAGACTCAATAATATTTGTCCTGCCAATAATATTTGTCCTGCACAAGTTTTCCATGTCATGATAACCACATCACCAAACTTTCCTCAGCAATGCAGAATGAAATTGTACATGATTAATTTTGCTATTATATAGCTATTCTCATTGTTGCAAAATACAGGATACGCCTTTTTTGTGGCAATTAACTCCGCTTCTAGGGCAGCAACTCGACAAACGACAGCATTGAGTAGTTCTTCTTCCCCTTGGGACATCCCTGATGGCCTTTCTTGAAGAGCATTCACCTTCTCTTCAAGCTCTCCTGACCTCTTCAAGACAGAAGATAAAAGTTCAGTTTTTCGGGTAAAACTATAATGTGGGCATCTTTTGGAACTTTCCCCATTTTTTATAATGCTAGTCTTTGCCTGTGCAATGCACAAGCTGTGATATTTTTAAGTTATTTTTAGTGTTTTCAATGTTAAGGATTGACGAGAAATCTGTTAGTTGATTGAACAAAGCCAAAGTTAGAATTTTGTATTTTAGATGACAGATGAATATTTCGCTGTCACACATACCATCCCAGTTTGTTACAATTTTTGCTCATAAAAGAAATGTACGTAATATGCTCAATTGTTCAAGTACTCGGTTCAACATTGGACCAAATATTATTAACTCTCTTCTCCAGGAGATAAAATGGTATCTGTGAACCGATTATTTGTTATGCAGAATTGCGCGTGGAAAAACTGCAAATCATAAAAAAGACATTTAAAATTTCAAATCACAAGATTATCATGAATGAAATTGGATTGTTTTGAGAAGTTCAGGAAATAAGAAAATATTTAAATTCTTGGCCCACCACTTCCATTATTTAAACTCGAATTTTATGAATTAATAACACAATACAATAGTAGGTAAGAACAATGCAAAAGGACGTCTATGGGATGTCGTATTCTCTAACATCAGGACTCAAATTGCTAAGAAGCTATATGCAGTCTCAAAGTCCTTTTTGCTATCTGCAGTCAATGAATTGTAGACAACCAGCATACCATGTCACAAAATACAAAATAAAAAATGAATTAGGAGATACATCAAGCACAAAAAGTAGTGGAATGTATCAAATGAAGTACGCAATAACGGAAATATAACTAGTGTAGATAAAGTGGGACGAAAAACTTGTGCTACTAAAACTATAGTTTATTCATATGGTCCAAGAAATAATTCCTATTATTCATTCCAGTGTTGTAGGTAAGATCCTCACAAATACCATTTTGAGTGTACCTTCTGAACAATATTCTACAATACCATGTACAGCTATCATTATCGAATGAAAAAGAAATTAGTGATACAAAAAACCACTCTTACCTCTCTCTATAATAATATCCCTCTTGTACTCCTGCTCCGAAGTAGTGGCAAAAGTAAAAGGAGAACCAAGGGCAACGCCTGTAGCTCTGTCATCAACATCCTACACATGAAGGCAAAAAACCACCAAATCTCATATATCAAGAATCTCAAATGTGCACACATGCCCATCCTCACGCACACCCACACTCACAATTACCACATTCTTCCACAATCTCTTAGATGCACAAACCTGGTGGACAGCAAAACTCGAATTAATGCCAACACCATTGATTTCTTTCCCCTGCTCATATAACCTTCTCACAGAGGATCCCATTCCCTTTGGATATACAACTATGATGCTGATGTGTTTTGGAAAGTCAATGCTCAATGACTGCGAATGGCCCCAAAGGAATTTATAGGAGAGTCCAAAGTATGCTATTTTGTTTCATGTGGAAAAACACTTTTTCATAATTATCAGACTGCAATGCATGCCAAAATGATGAATGAGTTGTCCCATAAATTAAAATAAACAAATATTGTGAACACTTTAATCAGTATTGAAATGGAAAAAAACTTGAAAGCTGATAAAAGGATTAATAACAAAAAAACAGAGACTCTCATATGCTAGTTCCTGTAAGTAATCATTTTTTACACTAAATAAAAAATTCAAGCATTCATTTTTAAATACAGAAAGAGCCATGTGAAGAGGATGATACCAAAGCCCTCATGGCTAAATAAACAAAGCAATTTGATACTTGAACTGCATCAGATATGAAGAGCAGCACCAAATCACTGTTAGAGAAACTGTTCCCCAAGGTTCCATTTTCTTCTGAAAACCCAGTAGCACGAGCCTCAACAAATGAGTGAGAACCCTTTCTCAGACCAATCTGCATGAAGAAGAATATGGGGACAAGTTTCATATGAGGGAAAACTCACATTTTTTCTTGAAAAGATGACAAAAGTAGAAAAAATAACAAATTACCTTGATCACAATATTAGATTTCGCTTCAACAAGACAATATTTAAGTTCTGAGCTTGAGTTAGTCCCCACACAAATGCAAAAGTGATTATATCATTTTCACAGAAATCAGTAGAACATCGTGAAAGAGCGGTTTGACTTCTGTGTAGACACAAATTCATAATGAAAGAAAAATAGCTCAAAAAAGGGAAATGTCCACATTTCACTGCATCGATATTTTGGATGCAGGACACCAACTGTGCTAGACGATAGTTATGACAGGAATGATTTCACATAATTTCACCAATGCTCCACTGAAGAATATCATTTCCCAAGGCTTTATTAGAACAACAAAACAGATGGTTTGGTGAAGAGTCACATAAGATACAATATGCATTTCAATCATTTTCAAACTTCACTAACCTAATATAAATGTATGGAGATAAATGAAATTTTTAAAAAAAACAAAAGGCACATTAGCACAGAAACCAATGACCACCACAGGAATGAATACTCTTAAGAAGTTTCAGATTTCTAGCTCATTCATTTACATCTTGGACAGTAGTGATCCCCATCGTGGACAAGCTTGTTTCAGCCAATTATAAAATACAATGTAGATGCATCTTATCCTGTATTTAAAATTACAAACTTCTAAGTTGTTTGGAGAAAGCAAGTCCTAGAGATGGTAAGTATAAAGTGGAATAATTGTCAACGGAAAATAATTATATTCCATGTTGGTTGAAATCTATGAAACAGTCAAAGGTAAATAACCATATTCTATATTGGTTAAAATATAATAACAAGTGCACCTCATTATTCACCAAAACCATTCAATAAAAATGATTTACAGATATACATGGAATTCACTTCAGAAGAAGAACATTTGTTAGTCACATAACAAATAACTCGTGTAAAATTCCACTGTAGAAGAAGAAAGGCATAATCAAAGATCAACAACCAATTTTCGAGAAAATTTTCCTTGAATCATTGACCTGATATTTAATTGTCTTGAGTAATAATTCTAATGTTGGATTTATGCTGTTTATACATTGCAAGATCAGAAAGGAAAGTTTTATAAAAAGATTTTTCAATATGAAAATCAAAATTCTTTTCAATTGCACAAAGCCCAGCACTTCTCTAAGATCTATGCTTAGAGTGTAAAATTAGAAATTAGCATAAAGTTCAACTCAAAGAGAAAGAAGCACAATGTAAACCCGCAAAGCTTAGTGCCATTGAGTGAATAACAAGATGATATATTAGATTCAGTTCAAAGTTTACATCAAAAAATAAAAGATATTCCCAAAAGCAATTGTGACTCCTTTCCAATTCCATTGTCAACATTATTTTGTCCTATTCATCCCTGTTTGTTTTTATGCTTCTGCACGATGTGAGGTGTCCTGTATAGATAATCTGAAAAGCAACTCATAATTCTATTAGGATCATATTTTTGTTACGAGAGGCAAAGGTCAGGATTCAGGGCGACAAAATTAACAATAAATTCAACGAACCTTAAGTCAGCAAACTCCAATAGCTGTTGAAGTTTGTAGTATTAACGATCTCTTATAACCTTGAAACAGTAAAAACGAAAGAAAAAATGGAACATTCAACAATACAGCTGAAGAAAATGAAAAAAAAAAATGCAACAAGAATCGAAGAATGACATAATCAATCAAATACATACATAATAAAATCAATAATCAAAGGTATGTAGTAATTGATAGTAACCTGTTTGATGTAATTGAGGACATTCTCGTCAGTTAATTTGTTTCCATCCAAATCAGTCACAAGGAAAACTGCAAAAATTAAAGAAAACAAAACGGCAAAATTAGTAGAAGACCAAAGAAATGGCACCAAAGCCTGTTAATTAAATATTTAATGCTAATAAACCACAATTTCGAGGCACAAGATAGCAAAAAAAGTAGCTTACCATCCATGAACCACCGACCATCAAAAGAAATGTAAGCTTTCTTAATTAACATATTCAAATCAATAAGAACTCGAACAGCATCAAAAGAAGCTCGTGGTTTCTAGCACTATCAATCTGGAAAAAAAAAAAAAAGAAGAATCAAAATTAACATAAATAATTAAATAATTATTACAAATTATATCATGTGCATATGCAATTGAAAGTTGGTATTAGACAAATCATTTTTTTATAAACAACAAAGCTATAGATTCATTAAATTCTAAGAATAAACATGTAAATTAATTATATCGGTGTTGTAATTTTATACTCTGGTTTAACAGCAACCCTAATCTCAATTCCAGTTGCAAATCAAACAAAAATATAAAAAACTCACAAATCATATAAACCTTTCACATCTAAAAATCTTTAGCAACCCGAAAAAAGAACCCCGACCTGAAGCAAATCTGAAATCGACATACCTTACGATTTGAGGGTATAAATACGATAATGTGCAACAAATTGCAGCAAGATGAAGAAACGCAGCAAATCACCAGAAGATGAAGACTCGACAAACCAAAAGCAATATACAGAACGCGAGAGAGAGTGTGAGAATGAGAGAGTAACTAGGGTTAAGCAGCAAAGAAAATAGGCAACCGAGTCCTGCATTTTGTCCCCTTTTTTTCCCAGACGACGTCGTTTAGGCCAACTAGTTAATGAACAGTAGAAATGGGTTAGGTGTGAAAACGTGCAACTCAACTATGAATAGTAAATGTTGCCAAGAGTCTTTTAAGGTAATGGGATATATGTTTTTTTTTTTTTTAATTCTTGCTTCTTAGAATTTTCAACGATTTTGTTTCGAAAAATAGAAATTGACAAACTAAAAACGGTATTTTCAACTATAGTAGTTTATTTTTTATATCGATGGGAGTCCAGAGTCAAGAGTGTGAGTTGTTGTTTATCCAAATGGATAAATGTTTTCTTCTCTCTCTTTTAATCCGGTCCTAAGAAACCCATATTTCTTACCCAATAAAGGTCAGTGATCCTTTTTTCTTGAGTTTTTTAAAATTCAATTAGCATTTAATTTCCTTTCATGCTTTTCACGAGAACAATAAGGTATATAAGTTTCTAGTCCAATTTGAGAATATTGAAAACTTGTGAAATAATCAAATACTTTTTCACTGTTTTTTATATAACTACAAAACAAAATCAAGCGAACAATATATTTTCATGTAATGGAAACTAATAACCATGTGGCGAAATGTAAAAAGTTGCATTTCCTCACAAGGGCGGAGCTAGGATTGTAGAGTTATGGGAGCAAATTTCTATAATTAAAATCGTGGTTGCAAAATTTTGAAGTACAATTTTAATTGTGGGGGACAAAATCGATAATTATTACAAATTTAAAATAAGATTTAACTTTTGTTTGGTCCCCCTTATTTTTAAAATACATTTTCTCTCTATTGTTTTCAAACACTTTTTTTTCAATAAAAAAAATATTACACCTAAATCCAAAAAAAAATTATTTTTTATTTTTTAAACAAACATTTTTCATCAAAATATTATTTCATAATGCATTCAGAGCGAAAAAAAAAAAAAAGGGGCACAAACAGGCTTCCACTGCCCCTATGCTAAACCCACCACTGTTTCCTGATAAAACAATAAGGAAAATAATACAGGAAAATTTGTAAGAAATAAATAAGAAAACTCTTGAATAAGGCAAGTAGCGCAATAAATAATTAAAAAAATAAACAAACTAAGTGTGTGTTTGGTAGGGATTTTTTGGGAAAAGAATTGATTTTGAATAGTGATATGATGGTAAATGTGTGGTTGAAAAAGAAGATAAGATTATTGATGTGATAGAAAATATTATTTTATTAAAGAATGTGTGGTTGAAAATGAGAATTGATTTACTGTTGAAAATGAGAATTGGTACCAAACATAGCCTAAAAACGATTTAAAATATTAAAAATTTAAAAACTAAAGAAATCTAACATTTGGATAGGGTTCTAGAAATTTTATCTCTAACTAAAAGCTTGTTTAGCGCATATGTTTTTCAGAAGAAAAGTTTCTGTTAATTTTTTTTTTTTTTTAGTTATGTATAATTAAAAGCGAGGAAAATTGTAGATCTTATAAAATGTGTGGTTGAAAGTTATTTCTAGAAGAAAAATGATTTTTAAAAAATTGTTAACAAGCAAACCATAAGTAGAAATAAAATCCTTTCCGATATTAACAAGTCCGATAAAAAAAAAAAAAAAAAATCCTTTCTGATGTTGTCGAGAAAAATCAAAATAACAAATTTCTCAAGAAGAGTTGAGCCTTATGCTTGAGAGGGTAGAGATTAGGGTGACAAGTGTTCGTGTTGAGACGAGCACAACCTAGGCTTTTGAAACAACAAGATAAAAATGTGTATAGATTTATCTGCATAGTCTGATATTTTGGATAATTTAATTTTAAAAAATATTCATTTATTCGTGCCAATGACCCAAAAAATTGTTATTGATCATCGAAACGAGAAAAACTTCAAAATGATGGTCCTACATGCACAAATAATATTATCATCCATTCAAATCACGATACCTCAAACTTCGAGTCATTCAAATCGTGACATCTCGACGTCCGAAGTGGTAAGAGAGAGAATTAAAGTGGGAGTGCAACGTTAAGGTATAACGATTTGAGTATCTCGAGGTTTGAAATATCGTGATTTGAATGAACGATTCTATCATACGAGCATATAAGATCATCCTACAAAAACTTCTCCACAAAAAAAGCATGACAATGCTCATATTTTTTCTTAGAGTAACTCGCGACACGTTATGTCTTCCATGGTTGAGTAAGTTCTTTACACCTTTCAAATGAAAAATATGTTCACAGATTCTTTTTTCTTATTATTTCATATTTTACTATGTATCTTTTTTATTCTAGTTGTACTGTTTTAAAAGCCATTTACATGACATAATTCTCTTGTGCAAAAGCCAATTGAACACACACACACAAACACGTGGTGGAGTGAACTCCAGTGTCGATGAGAAAGGAGCGAACTCTTGCAGATGTGATGGTCATGGTGATGAGACCATCGCGATGTCACCAACCATAATCGTCCACCAACATCTCGACATCACCAAGACACCAACCACCATTGTCCACTATAAACTACTATCGTCTATTTTCACACCATCTCGATGAGGAGCTGGATTCACTGCCTCTTTCCACCACCACCCACTACTACAGTCCACCACCATTATCACAGCTCTTGTTCTTGATTTCTTTGAAAAAAATTTCCAAGATATAGTAAATGCCTTTTAAGGATTTTATAGTTATAGTGATTGTTTTAATGTTGGTGGTGATGACAACAGGGGGTGGTGGAAATGATGGAATTTTTGGTAAAAGATGGCGAGTGGCAGTGTTGATGGCAGTTTTTGTGGCGATTTTCAATGGTGGTGAGATGGTGTGACGATGCCTTTATGTCGATGGTAGGGAGGATGATGATAGAGGTGGTTGTGGAAACATCCGATGGTATACACGTGTTACAAGTGTTGCAAAAATTATAACAACTTAAAAAGTGAGTAAATTATATAGAATTTTGGTTAAAATTAATTTCAATTTGAATAATATTATTCATATAATGTCTAGATGATCACTAGTTTTACGTGGAAGAGAGATCACTGTCACATTATCCAATGAACTTTGAATGGATTATTCATTGGATATGATAGTGATTCCGACTTTCTACTAATAATATTGTTATATAATTTTTTTTATGTTATTTGTGAAACTTTCCATTAGAGCGTGTCAATATACTTTTAAGAAAAGTAGCCGTTATCATTTTTATTAACAAAAAACCTATACAAATAGCTGTAAAAATAGAGTACACTAAAGTAATTAAATTATGTGTCCCACATTATTGTTGTTTGCATCAATTTCTTGAAACATTACAAGCTTGCACCGTACCATAAGTTATATCTTAATCGCAAACATAAATAGCTTTGAAGAGCATCACAAATTCGATGAAAACGTAGTAAATGTTGACTTGCAAAACGCTCTTGACGTGTTTCTTCGTCTTCCATTTCAAGCTTCCAAGTAGTGGAAATTAATAGTTTGCACATAGACTACGCTTATTTTCGAGCAAACAATTTTCAACTCCTTTTCTTTTGGATAAAATAGACAAAGAGGTGGCACGTTTTATAAACAATCTTCAACCTCTAAAACAAAATAAAATAACTATTCTAGAATAATCAGCATATGTATGAGAGGAAGTTTCTATATATGTAAAGGAATAATTTATTCAGGAAAATATGTATTTTATCAATCTACTTTATCTAATTATATTGATTTCCATTTTATCAAGTTTAACTCCTTCAGTGAAGTATAAGGTTGAAAAGCAATTTGATTATAATTCAATTCTGACGATTATGAGTGTAATGTTTATATTCTTTAGTCATTGATAAACAATTTGCTGGACAATATTCAATGCAATTGTCACAAAATATACATATTCCAAAATCAATATTGTGATTAAGTTATTGTCTCTTCCGAATATCCATTTTCAATTTTCAGAATTCGGTTTGATCTGACGTTGATGTTACCAAAAATCGTACTAGATGATGCATGACTCGAATGCGAAAGAATAGTGTGAAAGTCACCAAGGAGAAGCTTTTTTTGTTGGAAAATTTGTTATTCGATTTTCAAGATTATTGGATAAAGTTGGACTTCAATGCATGTTGCAATGTCACTTTCTTTAAGCCATTGTTTGAGCCTCATTTTTTCCATCAAAATATATTCTTGAACAGTAATTTGACCATATTTCAACAACAAATTCTTCAATAAAATAATATTGCACACAATTTTTTTTCATATTTTTTAACTACAAATTCTCCATCATAACACCATTACAAAATGTATTTTTTAAAAAAAAAAAAAAATGGGGCTCAAACACGCACAGTGTTATTTCCCATCCCCGTTGGATAAAGTTGGACTTCAATGCATGTTGCAATGTCACTTTCCTTAAGCCCTTGTTTGAGCCTCATTTTTTCCATCAAAATATATTCTTGAACAGTAATTTGACCATATTTAAACAACACATTTTTCAATAAAATAATATTACACACAAAAAATTTTCTTATTTTTTAAGTACAAATTCTCCATCATAACATCATTACAAAATGCATTTTTCAAAAAAAAAAAAAAAATGGGGCTTTCAAGAATATAAATTTCTTGATGCCTTTTTTTAATAGACATAACTTTTCTATATTTACATGCACCATTAAATTCGTTCAAATTTATTTTGAATTTTTTTCCAGTAGCTTTCAAGTACATATGAATAAAAAAGAGCCATTTATAGCATTTTGGAAAATAATCCCACCTAAGTTTGGATTCTCAATAAATTAATTTCAATTAGAATCGAATACGATATAATAGATGTTGATTTTCAGTGAATCTACGAGTCTTATTCCACACACAAAACATTTAGAATGGGAGTATCCATCAGTTGACATGAAGTGAGAGTCAGGATGAACTTAGACAGGAACGGATTCAGGACCTGACTACAAGCCGAACTAATATGTAGAAAAAATAAAATTACACATAAAAAAAAAAATTTATACCAAAGAATGAAGTGGGCTGGGGACCGGACTAGCCCCGTTCCCCCTACATCCGTCCTGAACTAATATTTTGCATAATGTTGATATGGAGCTTAGACTTTTCAGTCGAACCTACAAATTTTGCCATCACACTGGTCTTGTAAGAGATGAAGTGCCTGACTTGTGTGTCTATATTTTGTATATAATATTTTATAATAAATAAATTGTGATTTTATTTATTTATTATTGAGTACGTGAATTAAAGTGCATATGCTCACTAGTATATTTTGTTATGATAAAATAATAATTTATAATAAATAAATTGTGATTTTATTTATTTATTATTGAGTACGTGAATTAAAGTGCATATGCTCACTAGTGATAATATAAGTTGAGTACTTGCATTGAGAAATATAGCGTGACACAACTTATATTTTGATCATAAATAATTTTTTCACAATCATTGTATAAGAATTGACACCTTGTACAGAAAGACTGTAGTGTTGAACGATTCACTATTCAAATTTTCGATTTGTCCTTATCGCAAAAACAGTTGAAGGTGACATTAGTGCACTAGAATGACTACATAAATTATTTTTTATTGAACGGTTAAAACCAGAGCTCAATATTTAATGGCGGCTAAATTTCGACATCTGTGATTAGTTCACTTGACCGTTGAAAAAAAAAATGGTGCTTAAGCTAGTGAGAACAGTTAGAAGGGTAAAACGATCATTTATGCTCATATCTAATTATCCAATCTCGAACACTTAAATGTGACACTAGTACAGTAGAGTGACTACTTAAATTATTTTCTATTGAACGGTTAAAAGCAGAGCTCAATATTTAACGACGACTAAATTTCGACATCCGTGATTAGTTCACATGACCGTTGAAGAAAAGTGGTGTTTAAGTTAGTGTGAATAATTAGAAGGGTAAAACGGTCATTTATACTCATACCTAATAATTCAATCTCGGATGGGGATAAAATACATATACGATAGGTCAGAGGAAATACAGATTCATTGGCTGCTGTGATCTTATATATGCTATAGTGTAGTCTTTTGTTTTTAATAAAAAAACAAATACTAATAATTAGATTGTGTGTTAACCTCCATTCACAAACTATATGAACCTTCTTGTTATAAAGAAGCTATTCTGGATCATCTTTAACAGAAGTCAATGGGTAAGGGTTAACAATGAATGAAGAATCATGTAAATTCTTATATGTATTATCAATTTTGAGTTGGGTCATCTCACAGTAGGTGAGGCTATGCTATAACTAATTTTTTTGCTGGTTCTTGTTCGCTAACAATATGTGTATAACCAAAAGTTGAGCAACAAGTTTGAGGGCCACTTCTGATCCCCAATATTAGTGTTGCTCCGACAATGGTAAAGGTCCAACACTGGTGTTGCTCTGGCAATGGTCGACGGTGGTTGAGTTTTGTGACCAAGATGATGAAGGATTTGGGGTGGAGGTGAGGTGAGGTGTGGTGTGGTGTGGTTAGCGATGTCAACGAGTCGAGCCGAAAAAAAAAAGTTCGAGCCGAGCCCGAGCTTTTTTTAGCTCGAGTCGAGCCGAGCCAAGCCCGTCCAAAAAAAATGAGGCTCGGCCCGAGCCTTAGCGGGCTAAGCCGGCTCGATTTTTTTGGTCTTTTTTTTCTTAGCTGCCTGCAGGCAGCTTGCAGCTAGCTGCCTTCCAAAATTAATTAATTTTTTTTTATAGGAGGCTTGCCCGAGCTCGAGCCGACTCCCCAAAGTGGGGCTCGGCCCGAGTCTAGGCTCGGTTCTACCGGGCCCGGCTCGAGCTTTTTCTGGGAACTGAGCCCGAGCCGGGCCCGGCTCGGGCTTTTTCCCAGCCGAGCCCGAGTCGTCCGAACCTCCAAACTTTTTTGCCACCGCTAGGTGTGGTGTGGTGGGGTAGTTTTTTTCTTTTTTGGATTTTAATTTAACTATTTTAATTATTAATATGTGATTGACGAAAATGCCCATGTTTAAATTGGTCAAAATATTTAATTTTTTCATTTTTAGGTCAACTAATGGTGGAACTAACTGTTTCTGTCAATTTGGATTTCAGGTGCTAATTTTTCAAAGGTTTGAAATCGCTAGTAGCACAAATTAAATGTTAAGGTAAAGTCTGCAAAAAATCCAAAGGTTTGGGACCGCTGCTGCAATTTTCCCTAAAAAGAATGTGTCCACCTATACGTGTAATTTGACTTTGGAGAATATTAAATAAAATTGGAGGTTTGAAGTATCAAGATTTTTGAATTAAAAGTTGGAAGCTCATGATCCAAAAAGTTGAAAGTTCGTGATTCAAAATTAATTCAAGAATTGACCATCGAATTAAGGTAAAAAATTCGAATAATTTATTCTTACTATAAGATACACATGAATATTTAAACAATCTTGTTTTTTGAATTAAATTTTTTTAAAAAAATTTTTCTGATAATTCTACTTCCGCATTTCATTTTGACTATCTTACATCGCGCTCCCATTTTAATTTTACAAAACTTCTGTTATTGGATGTGATCCCCACGATATCACCCAACAGTGCTTCATTTTATTTCAAAAAGGATGTAAATACAAGTCATAATTTGACAAAAATTCTAAATTTCATGAATTTATATTAGTCATTATTCTTGTTTTTTTACTTTGGCATTACAATTTGACAACTGCAAGAAACCGCGTAAACTGTTTCTGGTTTTAAGAAAAATATAATAAGCGAGTATATAAACGGAAACATTTTCCTCAAAAAATAAGCAAAAATCCCACAATACCACAAATATTCATCGTTCTTTTCAAATAATTGTACAAAAACAAGAAAGGAAAAAAAATAAAAAATACACAGGCACGCGGAGAGAGGGAAAGGGCTTACATTTTATCAGAAGCTCTCTCAATCTCTTCGTGCCCAAATTTAAGAAATTTGTGAAACCATATGATTATTAGTTTGTCTGATTCGTTACTGTATTTATTATTATCCTATGGTTCACAAATCTTTCATTTTTCATGCGCCGATCCATTGCCCGCTCAGTGAATCGTAGATTTGAAGAAAAAATGGATCAGGTTAAGCTCCAGTTACGATCGAACCGACCTGTTTATCGAAGCTTCTACAGCAAACAATCAAACTCCAGATCAAGAATTTTGCTGTACACTTCAATTTCCATAGCCGTCATAGTGTTTTGCTGCATATTGTTTTTTCCGAACAAAATGAGGCAATATACAAAATACATGGTGGTGATCGATGGGGGAAGCACAGGGACGAGGATTCACGTGTTTAAGTACGAGGTCAGGAGTGGGAATTTGGTGCTTGATTTTACGGAGAAAGGGTTGGTATCGATGAAGGTGAATCCGGGATTGTCGGCCTATGCGGAGGAACCCGAAAGGGCTGGGGCCGCAGTAGCAGAACTGGTGGAGTTTGCAAAGAAGAATGTGCCTAGGGAGGGTCGGGGAGAGGCTGAGATTCGGTTAATGGCGACTGCCGGGATGAGATTGTTGAAGAAAGAGGATCAAGAGAAGATCTTGGATGTATGCCGTAGGGTTTTGAGAGGGTCTGGTTTTAGCTTCCAAGATGATTGGGCAACTGTCATCTCGGGTACAGAAAACGGCATTGTGCTTTCTTGCTTTGATTTGATTTTGATTTGCGCTTTTCTTACTATTGATATTGAAAATAGATACTGATATGTTCGTTCGTTCAAATTGAATTCATGGAACAATGTGGATCTTGCCAATTGATTTGATTCAAAAGCAAAAATCTTGAAATGTGAATTTAGCTTTTATTCGATGGTTGTAAATGTTAATTGTTGCAGCTAGCTTGAAAGCAGTAAAACGGAAAATGTAATGTTCAGGTTGATGTTAATTATGGACTTCACTCGAATTAATTAGTGCATGTTTGGCAAGACTGGACTTTGTAATGACTTATTTTCTTCTTTAATATTGTTTAATGCTATCCAATCCTTCGTACCAAATGCTTCATTAGAGTTTTGTGTGGTGGATAATGGATAAGTATTGAGTGCTCATTCGATAAATTTCACTAAAATTTTTATCAACTTTTCAACTCGTAATTTTAACCATGCATTTCATTGAATCCACAATTTTTATCAACTTTTCAATTCATATTTCATCAATTTATCAAAATCTACAAAAACTTTTATCAAAAGCTTTGTCAAGCAACTCCTGAATTGGATAGTTGGTGTTGGGTAGAGGTTGTGGATACAATTTAATGGATTATTTGTGTTGTTCAACAAAAATGTTAAACTTCTTGTGAGTCGAGGAGGCAAAATGTTAGCAGTGTCTGGATTGAAATTTCTCTTCATATATCTGTACTTAGTTGCCTAGATTTCTTTGATAGCTTTTAGGATATATTATATGCTTTTATTTTAAATTCCACCTCTCTCTGTACATGTTTGTGTTTATTTCTGCACATTGTTGCACATCAGTGTTATTTTTTAAGTTTTGATCTTAGAGATTTCCAATTATTAACATCTAATTCTTCAATTGCTCAAGGCTCTGATGAAGGTTTATATGCTTGGGTTGTCGCAAATTATGCTCTTGGAACACTTGGAGGTGATCCTGCAAAAACAACTGGGATTATTGAACTTGGTGGTGCTTCGGCTCAGGTTCAAAATCCATTTTTAAATTATTATTTGTTTATTGTGATTGTTCATTGTGTTAGAGATGAACAATGTCATTCATTACTTGGTTACTCTAATACTCTCCGCCAAGTGGACCATGCGATGTGATATATGTTCATTTACTAGATAGTATAATAAACAAGATATTTTCATTTTGTTTTGCATTATTAGTGTCAAGTCCTATTTAATCCTCCCTATTAGACATGGCGTTATTGTTCTGTTACATTTGAGATTCATTTTACAGGTCTTGATAATAATGTGTGCATAATTGTTTCAGATTACCTTTTTCTCAAACGAGCCAATGCCTCCTGAGTACTCTCGAACAGTTAAATTTGGTAATTTCACTTACAACCTCTACAGTCACAGCTTTCTTCAGTTTGGACAGGTAATCTTTCTTTTGAAGCAATTTCTATAACTTGGTGTTACTGTGTTAGTACTGGTATTGTCTCCGTGGAGTTATAAGTATTTTGTGTTTGATATTGATTTATTATGAATGTGGGATGCAAGAAGCTTTCTGTTGACTCCTAGAATTTGTATGTTTTTTACTTCCAAGTGCAGGATATCCCCAAGGGGTCGTGGGGTTTTCCCCACTACGAATTGGTCTCTCCCTTTGAATATTTGTATTGTTTTGGGTATCTGTAGATTTCAGCTATGCAGTTCAGGTATCCATAACTGGTTCTAATTTTTGCAGAATGTCGCCCTTGAATTACTGAAGGAATCTCTCGTTTCAAGAGGCCAAGAGACGGGTAAGTCAAGTCAAAATGTTCTTTATTATTGGTTGTGTTTCTGACAATATAAAATCATAGCACAGGATCGTGTTGTCTCAAAGACTTTTAGGTGTTTAGTTTTGATTATTAGGATACAATTTTAGAATTGGAGTGGGTCGAACGAAACGTAGTAGTATTATAGGATTCTATGTGATTGGAAGACGCACACTGATTTAAAAGGCAGGTTGTTCATAATCGTTATTAGAACTAATGATAATTTATGATTTTATACGTGGTCATACTAGAATGGATAAAATAAGAGTTGAGGACAAATAGTTGAGGCATGTTTTACATAAGCTTAAAGAACTCTCATTTTAAGAGGACCAAAATTACTATGACCTAATGCTGTTTAAAACGAGTTTATTTCATGTGAACCTTTCTTCAGATGTAGAACTAGTTCTGACAACTTCTTGTCGCTTTAAATTGATTTTGGAAATTTGTTGCCATTTCACTTCCTCAAGATATTGTACATTGTTATACTGATACAATAATCCATTTAGAAAGTGGTTCGGGGTGAAGAAAACATTAATGAGTACCCACCTTTCGCCTTTCGCTATATACCAGACCAGACCTTTTTAATTTTAGTTCTGATAATGGCCCAAATTTTTTTTTTTTCATTTGATTTTAGGACAGTAAGTGCATGTTTGATGCAGACAGTGGTACGACAAACAAGACTTTGACTTATTCTTTTTAACGCCGCCGGTTTTACTATTACACGGACTAAAATACCATAATTTTCACTGTTCTTTGATTTAGTTTTCTTTAATGCAGGTGTCAAATCTCTTCAACAGGTGAAACCTATGGATCCTTGTACTCCTCGAGGGTACTTGCACGACAAAGGGACATGGAAACTTTCTCCAAAGGGTAATTTCTCTGAGTGCAGATCTGCCTCATTAAAGTTGATGCAGAAAGGGAAAGGTATTTTCTTTAGACGTTTCATTGTTATGTTTTTCATTATAGTCCGCAATTCTGTGTTTTTTTTTTTGTCTACATACTACAGTAGAGTATTCAGCCGTAAACCTGTTTATACATGAAATGCAGATAGATGCTCTTATCAAAGCTGCTACATAGGATCAACATTTATACCCAAGCTCCAAGGAAATTTTTTGGCTACAGAAAATTTCTTCTACACGTCGAAGGTTGCACATTCATTTTGGTTCTTAGATAATTTTTGACAAGTTTTAAAAGTTTACTTATATAAGTTTGAAGTTACTTATGTTGATAGTTAGGTAAGAGTTGCTTAAAAAATCAGTAACTCTTGTTTTAATTAAAATTAAGAAAAAATTAATGTATGTATTCATGTTTGAAATAAAAAATTACTCGAATGCAAGTTTTACTTGCTTTCGAGCTTAGCCAAAATTTGGCTGTTTTTCTCATTTTGGAATTCTGGTTTTCAGGAGGACCTCTTTTAAACTTTCTTTCTCTCTATTTCTTTAAATAGTTCTTTGGCTTGGCCCCGAGAGCCTTTCTTTCTGATCTCCTGGTTGCTGGACAACAATTTTGTGAAGAGGATTGGTCAAAATTGAAGAAGAAATACCAGTCTCTTGAGGATGAGGATTTGCATCGCTATTGCTTCTCTTCTGCATATATTGTGGCCCTACTGCATGACAGTCTTGGAATGGCTTTGGATGATGAGAGGTATTATTTAATCAGTGACCACCCAGAAACATACCAGTTTTATCAACATATTTTTGTCATAATCGTTAGGCGTTCTAGTTGTAACATGTTCCACCCTTAACTAATGGAAAGCAAGATGGAAGAAAGAACTGTGAAAAAGGAAATAAGAAAACGTAAAAGGGGAGAAATTTACAAGGATATGTTTGGTACACATGATTGCATGGGACTGGACAGTATAATAGACAATATTTTAGCTTATTTTTCATTTTGTGTCCTATAGTCCATCTTACCAAACAGATTTTGAAAGTATTTGTCTGTCGACCAAATTTCATTCATTGAATGCCATGCGTGTACAGACTTGGATGCGCTAATGAAGTACAGAATATCCCCCTTGACTGGGCATTGGGAGCTTTCGTCTTGCAGAGCACAGCTAAGTTGGATTTGCAGCATTCTAACAGGATTGACCTTGTAGTAAGTGGGAACTATTCAGCATTGCTGCTTATATTCGGAATTTTCCTTGTGTTAATTGGTGCATGGTTTGTTTCAAAGTGGAGAAATCCTCAGTTGAAGACTATTTACGATCTTGAGAAAGGAAAGTATATAGTTACACGGGTCAATAGATACTCATAGCCTTTTGGGAGAACACGAGTCTATCCTGTATTTATGGGTAGAAGGAAGACTGCCAAGTAGTTTTCGATTGTATTTAAGGTGCTGCTATTCAATACTGCATAGGAAACATACGCTAAGTGGTACATGGATGGGGGCTTTGGCCCTTTGGGGTGGATATAAATTCTAGCTTCGTACATTACGAGCTTATTATTATCTTACAATACAGCATAACGCTTATAATCGTACAATTTTCTGTCCATATTGTAGACAGGTTTGTATTTTCCATAGGATAGAATAGAGATGGAGAGAGATTTACATGTTAGTGATTGGTTCTTTACTGATTAGTTTCAGGGCATTTGCTTACTGTAACTTGTTCTCCTGTTTCAAGTGCTGACATTGAAGGTTATGTCAAAACTGAATTATAACTTCCCATTCTCAAAATAATAATAATAATAATAATAATAATAATAATAATAATAATAAAGTGAACTTAAAATTTATTAAGAATCAGGCGTAATTTGAGTTAATTTATTGTTGTAGACGTATATTTCCTTTTTCTTATATAATATAAATAGGTCGGAGCATGGAATAATCTCAGAGTAGAGCAAGCATCTCCTTTAGATTTTTCTTGTGAGACATTCCATTTGCAGTGTCCCGCCTTGTCTTTCAAAATCACCTTTGCTTTAAGAGAGACTGGACCATTCGGAAATAAAGAGAAGAAATAATTTTTTATTGGTTTTTTTTGGATTTTCTAATGTTTAATTACTCCATTTTACACCGAAGCATATTGGTCTGATTAAGTGGGGACCCTTTGTTCAAACAAAGGTACAATCATCAATTGATCGAATCCAACTATCTTTCGCTTTCTTTTATAATTTGATCATAATCATAACTCAAAAGATGCTATAAACCCTTCGTGGGTTAAATAGTGCAAGTGTACTTTAGAGTATCTAACAAAGTAGTACATCAAACTTAAGATAGTCCGTACCCGTACTAAAAGCACCAAAATAGGTAATTAACAATGCTTTATTGATTTAACTGTGTACGACTTTTGATTAACCATGTCGGCTGGAAAAAAAGTTTAGGCACAAGTCGATATCAGTGGGTGTTTATTCTTATGTGTATCAAAATTTCTCTTCGATATAATTTTACTGTACTTAAATTTTCAGACTTCGCAGTTGAACATCTTGATATAGCCGCGAATAAACGAGCGTGCTGCCTTCAACCACGAGAATAAGGATCACGCTTACAAGATTATTATCTCGATCTCTTTTATGTAGCTTCGAGTGTTTAGTCTGGTTATGAAGGAGGAGAAGATGTTTGAGAATGATTTAATGGTTGGCAGTGAGTAATATACTGAGGAAAATGACAATGAATTATCGTTCTAGACGACAATGAATGAGTTTCTCTTCAATGAAATGATAGGATACATAAAAATTATCGAACAACCTCAAGAAGGATTTCACCGTAGGATAAATTACCGTCTCTCGAAATACATACATATTTGACTCGCTTTATAAAAACTCGCACATATGAGACTCAAATAATAGATTTGTAATATTTTGCTTATCATTTTCTAGTATTTATTGTTACAAAAATATAAATTCTACTTCAATGTTTCTAAATTATAATTTTGGAAGGTCAAACATAGAGACGAACCTCGAATCATATACCTTACAATCATGAACAACAAATTCCTTAGCGTTAATATAACAGTGAATCTCATCAATGCAAGTTCAAATAAAGCAGAAGGTGTGCTTTAGAATGTTCCAAGTTGCATCTATTTTTGAAATTAATTACTATAAAAAATGGTGGATAAAGAAAAAGAGGGTCTGCTTGGTTAATTGGGAAAATAAATTTATTTTTCTCGGCTTCAAGAGAAAGGGACACTTGAATGGGATCTTCATTAAAACATTGAGTGGAAAAAATAAAAAATAAAATAGAAAAGAAAAGAAGAAAGAAAAGCATAAAAGGAACACATTTGGCACAAGAAACCAACACTGGTTTTTTGTTGTTGCATAGATAAGAGAGCTTGGAATTCTAAAGTGAGATATTCAAATGGCATAAAGCTAATGTCTGGTACCAATCTTTTTTATTCTACCCATTTTGCTTTTATGACTGCTAGCTTATCCCTCTTAGAGACCTTCGATTTTGGCTGCTCAAGCTAAACCTTCTTTCTTAATAACTAAGGAAGATTAATCACCGCAAAGGCGATAATAAATTAAGTCTTATTTCCCATTAAATTTGAACTGTATTAATATTTTTTCGTATAAGAATTCGGTCATAAGATGTGATGAAGCTTCTTTATTTTGGCTTCGAACAAGAATAACAATAACAAACTAAGCCTTGTGCAATTATTGTCAATAAATTTAGATTCGACAATAGTAAGGTTCTACGTTATCTATCAATCTATTCGAGCTTGGAATGATGACAAAGATGACAAACTGAGCCTTACTCTGCTCTTCCCATTGAATTTAGGGTGGTTGATTACATGGATCAATTTGCATATAAGGATTCATGTCATAAGATGTGATATAGTTTCACACTGCTATCAACCTGCAAATTTCTTCACTCTTCCATTATTTGGGCTTGGGACCGACTAGAGAGTTTTATGTTACGTGGAAACGTAAGCATGGTTGATGATGTGGCAGGATGACTGGGAGTCCAAGGTAACTGGATTGGTCTTTGTGTAGAAGACAAAAGCAGATCAAATGATAAGTGATGTAGGGAAACAAATGAAAAAAGATGCTTAGCTTCTATTGGGTTTTGTTCCAATTGTCTTTATTCATTCCAATCAGATTCTTTCATAACAGCCTTATTGCCTTAATTTGCTTAGATTGCAATTTTATAATTGGAAATGAATCTAAAACTCCTATGTGGATTCTGGGACCCTCCTGCTTTATCCTTTAAATTGCCCTACAAATTCTGTAAGACGACGTCACAAGCATAAATCTACAGGAATGGAGACATAGGATTCAAACCTCAATTTTCTCTCAGCATTCTTAATCAAAACCAACTTCTCATTTTCTTGTTTTTCCAAAGAACTATGGCTCTATACATCCATAGGGCATTTGCCTTGTTCATTTGTGTAGGATTATTAGTATTTCGCCCGCAAGAAGTTTGTGGCTTGAGAAGTGCAGACCTCGCTCTTAGACAAAGCAGAGAAGATCGTCGATTAAGGGTAAAGAATCAGAGTACACTCGACACAGATAAGAAACCAGCACCTGTAAGCAAGAAATTCGATCCAAACCAGTCAAGCAAAAGAAGAGTTCGACGAGGATCAGACCCAATCCATAATAAGACTTGATAAAATCTGGGCATCTCTTCATCAGATAAGAGTAGGGCAATTGGCATTCAAAGATGGACACAGCTTGGTACACTAAAGACCTAGGCTGCAGGCGTTCTAGGTGGTTTGTTTTAGGGCATTCCTCTTCTGTTTAGAGGTTTTCACCGAAAGCTCTATGCATGTTTGGTACGAAGTATTGGACATAATTGAGCAGTTCGTTTTCTTTCTTTAACAGTGTCGAGTACTATTCAATCATCCATACCAAACATGCTATAATATGTATATTAGTAGAATCGTTAGGAGCTGCCATCAAAAATGCTCCCAGTGCAACAATGTTCCACCATATATACAGATCAGAGGAAGTACAAGGAAATAGTGTAGCCATAGCAAAACTTTCGAAGATTTGATTGGTTTATTTTTCTGGGTTTGTTGCAAATGTAACAGTATTTTGTCTTTCCTCTCATTCTAATTGAGTTTCTTCAACATTAAACATTGTGTGAAGATATTATTTACTTTCCTTCCAGCAAAATCATAACAGAAGGCTGTTGCTAACTCGTGAATGAGGACAAGTTGCCATGTTCAGTACATTGAGCTACACCTAGGATTGGACAGAATTAAAGAGCGACAAAATCTGTTGATTTGTCCAATCCAGTCAGTAGCGTCAAACAAGCCTTTTTCTTTCTTTAATAGTAAAAGATACTCCTTCTGTGTCTTCTGCTTTTGCTTTCATTTGTGATAAAAGAGCAGTTTGAATTCAACTTCTTGAAGATAACATTAGGTACCTCTGATGATGAGAAGGCATTGGCAAATGAGATTTAGTCGACCCAAAATTTATTAGGAATTAAACTTAAATTATTGTTAAAAGCACTTAATTCTTTGCACATTGTCGTTGTAATGTGATAAAACTTGCTTTAGATCATTTTACACCATTGGATAATAATGCTGTGGCGAACCCTGATGAGGGCTACAGGCATGAACTGATGATAAAATTCCTACTATATATATATAACGAAACTAAAAGAAAATCACTAATTAAATAAAAACAAATATAAGATAATCTCAACTTCTGAAGAAATTAAGGAACAAACAAAAGAACGAGTGAACTAATCCTAGGACACGCTTTCACTAAACAAATTATAAAGTTCAAGCATGTCTCACATCAAAGATACTTACCAATTACTATAATTTCAAGGGTACTTAATACTAAAACAGACCACTAACCTTTTTCACAAATCATCATAATCGTTTTACGCAGCATACATGTGACAGTTTGTTATTTAATGCATAAGACGACTACCGATAGTCTTCATTATGAACAACATTATTCCACAAACAATGACATGTTCATTGAAAGGACAGTTGAAACTTCTCCTACTGCAGATGGGGTTACAATAGTGTGGAAAATTGGTAAATAAGTTATTGTATGCCCTCCCGACGGTCCTTTTGGACAAGAAGTGTTAACAAAGACGAGAAATGTTAATTAATTAAATGTTAAAAATTAGAAAGCATAAAAAAAAAGTTGGGAACATAAATTGCTTCATTAAGCAAAGAATGGAGATGATAAATAGAATCAAAATGTAGTGCAACTAATAAACACTGTCGTAAGTATATATTAATCCTCAAAAAAGGGTCTTTTGACCCGACACAAACTTATAAGGGAAAATGCATGTGCACAGAAAAAATTTCACAAAATTCCACCAGATGTGTCACATGGATGTGAGTCTCATTGTCAATAAACTATTCCAAAAAATGCGGATCCCACATGTGTTGTGTGTGGTCTGTAAATTTGACAGAAATTTTTTTTCTGTACACCAAGAATGATCTTATAAACTAAGCCAATTTAAATTGACTCTTTCATGGATTTTGAGAGAAGAAAAAGGAAATATTGCACTATCAATCCTCAAATGACAGTGCCATAAATAAGTTAATTCTCAAGTCGTGACAGAGAGTTGGCAACTCAAGTCAAGGGGAAAGATGGCCGTACCCGTAATGGTCCTAAGATCGAGTATGTGTGTTCAATCACAACCTTGAGCAACTAATAGTTTTCTACTTATTAACTCAAATACAGGAAAAGAACGGGATTCACTATGGAAAAAAGAGTGACTTCTTTCCAATGATCAAATAGTACCTCGTGTGTGGCAAATTAAAAAACCTTAGATAGAAATTCATTCAATTGAAATGAAGCTTGCAGGAATCAAAACCATAGTCTTGAACAGGTAAATAGGTGCAGTTCCATTATAAAAGTTCAACCAAAAACGAGTAAAATGTGTTGGATGTTAATTCTTCAAGCAAGATATCGATATAATTTAATAACTCGACAAGGTTGGTCGGGAAAAGATATTGCAATTGCTTTGTAACCTCAGCAACGACGTTCTGATTTATATTCTCACTAGATTTTTGTATTCTTACTATTGCATCCTCCATATGGGGCTTCCTCTTGCCTCCATCCCGTCTTGTCTCTTGTGCCATTTCCCATCTCTGCACCGTAGGCTGCATAAAATCCCAGCAACTTCATGTGCGGTCTTCATGTCAGTAAAACTCCCTCTAATTCTGAAGTAAATTGATACCAAATTCAGTCTTCAGGTTAACAATCAGACTTATTTCAGCATTATCAAAGACTGATTTTCCTGACAAGAGTCGCTTTGCCAAATGTTGATTATAGTATTTCCCAAATATATCTTTCTCCTGGAGATAACGAGACAACATTATTACCTTGTCAAGAATTATCTCAATATCTTCTGCCACTCCAAGTCCTTTGCACAGTTTATCATCAACGAACAACGATATATACTCAGGCATATGAGGATTCAAATTGATGAAATATTCAAAAGAAGAGTTCAATGCATTCTGGAAGGTCTCGTCATTGTTGAATGCAGAGCTTATGATCTTATCATACTTATCCATTTTCTCAAAAAGGGAGTCGACAAATTCCACTGGATTCTTCGATTTCTCAGGATCAGTAACAAGTTGTCTACCAGTGTTTCTAATGTGAGGTGTCATTAAATCTAGGATTATAGAATGACCATTAGGAACCCGGCGAAATAAGCTGTACATTCTTGATAATTCATCATATTTATCATCAAGAAGCATATTTACCAAGCCTGAATTCTCCATGTGAATTAGTCTAAGCATGTGATTGGCAATCATCTCTTTCTCTACGACAGAAATTATCTTGGCTTCAGTCTTTTCATCCAAGTAGTGTGATACCCTTGATATTTCATCTTCCAGACATCTTTCAGCTTCCTTCAGATAGTCCCCACAATCACTGCTCTCAATAAATTCCTGAGACTTCTTCCCATAAAAATGAGATGAAACTGCAATGAAAGGTTTCTCAAAGTCTTCTTGGTAGACTGAAGATCCTAATTCCACTAGCATTTTAATTGTATTTCTCATCAGCTCTCTATTGATAACTTCACCAGTACGTTCCCTATATATAAGATCAAGAAGAGTGTATTGAAGCCTGATCGGGATATTGCTAGAGTGAATTACATTGTCCCTCCAAATATTTAACCCAAGCTCAATGACAGGGGCTTTGTTGTTGCAAGGAACATATGTCCTATCCATGTACATCAGCATGTCACGGATTCTCTTCAGTGCAGTATTGTGATCAGTCCATTTTGTATTCAGCTCCTCCAGAAATGAAACACCAGAAGCAACTTCAATACATTTACACATCTCCTGGAGGTGGAATGTCATTGTTGACTCAAGTCCGGAATAGAGTTTCTCCCCATATTTATGTAACACCATATTATAAGCATGCCTGCGACCATGGAAAAAATCCACATCAGAGCTTAGAAACAACTTGTATGTACAAATATTATTCAATGATGGTGAGTTTAAAGAACTATTGAAGATGGATAATTATCAATCATTTTCAGCAGTAACCATAAATATATGACGTTTTAAGGATGTACAGCATTATAATTATATCATTCAAAACATATGCTCTTAGCATGAAGAAAATTCAAAAAACATTAATGCAGTGAGGAAAAAGTAAGGAAAAATTGTGAACACTTGACACAAACAATAAATACACCACCTAAATTCTTCATTTTTCCTTTACATTTCTTCATTTTACTCAATGGATGGTGGAGATCGTATATTAGGTATAAATGTGCATCCCATGGGTTAAAACATGGAGTTTGTCGTTAGCCTTCAATAATGCATATTGAATGTGTTGACCTAAAAAATCCAAGGGGGACTTGCAGCCAATAGATTTCATGCCAGTCCCTGACTGCTTGTATATTACTTGTACACTGGAATGCAAACGAAGCCATAATTTGTCATGGGTATATGATGATAAGGGGTTCAGTGGGCATGCGAGGCCCATACCAAGTGGTGGTTATTGCAAACACTATGAGGGATGACATAGCATAGCCTAAGGCGAGGCTTAATGGGTCAACTTCCTTGATCTAGTTGAAATAGAGAGGGTGAGGAGCATGCGAGATAGACACATTGTGTGCTGTCGAAAGCTCACATGGCCCTTGCTCTCTTGGTGGTGCTTACGTGGCTCCTTCATAGATTTTGGGGTGTAACAGAAAGCTCATATGAACTCAATCACCTGTCCATTATATTCCAACTTCCAGTTTATCAGAAACATATCAATATCTAGTAATATTCTCAAAAGAACAAATCTTTTTCATTTACACCGCTGAACTTGAACATAACAACAAGCATTTTGCACTTTTGCCCACCTCGATCAAATAGTACTTGTTTGGTGACCAATGAGACCATGTTTCAGAAAAAGTGAAGCTATATAGACATTTTTCAGGGACATCAATTGTTTCCACAAAACAGCTATGTCCAATCTCACAAAATGGCCAACCATCAGCGAGTCGTTAAACATAATGCACAATTAGAGAATCTCTGCTCTAATAAGCCAGGTAATGTCATTTCATTGATTGTATCAATAGTTTCAGATGTGCAATCAATAAATTTATGCAATTAGAACCTAGAAGGCAAAAATACTATCATCACTCGTCTCAAATTACCCGATAATATCAAACAGAATGTCCCACTAGCACTCAGTAACTGTTAAGAATCAGATCATAATAATTTTTTCAAGCTAGGCATCTTAGTCTTTCCCTTTAAGAGCTTGTTTGGGAGGAATTAAAATTGAAAATATAGTCGTTATTGGATCCCACTCGTCTAAAACAAGTCAACTCAAACGGCTAGTTTTTCAATTTAATCTAATTTTAATCCCTCCCAAACAAGCTCTTAATTTATTCGTGCAGCAACCATGGACTCTCTTAAGTGATTTATACTTCATAATCTGATTTCCCTGACAAACAATTCAACCCTGTAAGTAATGAGCACTACATAACCACCAGCTCTGTTCAAGAATATTTTGATTGGTCATACAGACCTAAGCATACAAGAAATCAGACGGATTAGCACCAACCTTTGATCCCAGAACATCTTCAGATCATAAAATACCAGGAGGTAACACATAGTAATTACTAACTACAGTGTCTATTCCTGAATATTTTAAGGCAATTTGCATTAGAGGTTACAAATTCTCCATTTTTTGGACAAAATGTGAAGGCTAAGAACATGGTTTAAATATGAAAACAATAATCAACCCATAAGGGTTTTGGATACTATTCTTTGGAAAAAGTTGATACTCTTAAGATGGAACGAATCAAGGTAGAAGAGGTGTATGCCTTCATAAGATACTTTTTTTTTCCCCACTTTTTTTTTTCCCCCAGAAAAGGACAAAAAAAAAGAAATGGAACGCCAACCCATTATGTGCTATTAAAAGTCAAAATATAGACAAAAAAGGAAGTAAATCTCAAAATATCATTGCAAGTTTCTAATGCCTACAATCAATCCTATGCTCAGAAACAAATCACTTGTATGTTTGTGAGTCTGACTTAAAAATTCAATAAGCATTTCTTTCATCTAGTTTTCTCCCAACTCGAAATAAATAAATCAAACACTGAAATTACTTCAAGATAATCAAAACTACATAAATCAACTCAGCACGACACTGGCACAAGAAGTCGACTCAGCTAAGTAGATTAATTAACTTGTGATGTACATATATGACTAGTATTATAAATACACAAGTTGACTCAAATTCTAAAAAAATCGAATTTAATAACCTGTAGAGTTCTTCAAAGTTGACGTCAATATAGTTGCGATTGTAAATTTGGGAAATGGCATGATCCAGAATTTTCCAAGTAGTGTCCGCGAACTTCGGATCTACCACCACACCATACTTGAAAGCCTCTAGCTGAAAATTCCTCTCCTTACTAGCAACGGTTAGAATGTCATGAGGACGGTTGACTTCTCTGCCACTAAACGGGATGCTTTGGCTGGAAGAAGCTGAAAAATAGTTGGATTTGCTCAAAATTCTTGAATCTTGTTAAGTTTTAAAGGAAAAAAGTGGAAAAGATATAAAGTTGGCCACAGAAGAAGACAGAGTCCTAATTGCTTCATTATCATAAAAAGCATACCTTGAGGGTCCAAAAAGTTCTCAGGAACATGATCATGAAGGGGAGAATTCGAACTGAAATCCGATGGAACAGAGCTGACGCTGGGGCTCCTGGAATGGGCATAAGCAAGTTCCCGAAACTCCTCTCTCTTTAACGTGGATCGGACCAGCCTTTCCCAATTGTCATAAATTCTACTCATCGCTACATACAGTTTGATAAAGAAATATCATAGGATCATTTAAAACACACGGTGAGGATAAAGAGAAGTTGTTTAGCCTCCCCAAGTAAATATATAATTTTTTGGATCTTTTGCTTTTGTTTTATGTGAGTAAAAAGTCTCTGTTTTCATCACTATGAAAGCTTAAGAATGGGTATTTCATAAGATTTATGCTGAAATTACGGGAAATATTTTACAGAAATTCAACAGATTTTTGAATTTTCAGTCACAAGGGGCCCGCACCATGTATAAAATATTGTTCAAAAAAATTATCTTCTCGCCCTTGAATGTGAGTGTTCGGTGAGTACAAAAATTTTGAATTTCTGTACTTATAGCTCGACTCATTTCATAAGATTTATGCTGAAAGTACAGGAAATATTTTATAGAAATTCAACAGATTTTTGAATTTTTAGTCACATGGGGCCGCACCATGTATAAAATATTGAAAAAAAAAAAAAATTATCTTCCCGCCCTTGAATGTGAGTGTTCGGTAAGCTGTACTTATAGCTCGACTCATTTCATAAAGAAAACTAAGGTCTCAAAAATGCAAACATTAAAGGCCTAAAGGAAACAGATGAAGAAATGCAAGGAAATCACAGCATAAGTGCCTTTTCTTTATTTTTTAGCTTTGGTCAAACATGTTGCCTCAACTGGTATCTCTAATCTTTAGAAAATGTAGGTTGAGTCCTCTCCAATTTTTCTGGATATAAAGCCCAACTTCGATTTAGCTGGTTTCGTCTGTTAGACCAGTTCATGTGTACTGTTGTAGACCCAGTCTATTTCTCTTAAACGTTCCTTTCAGATGTCGTGGAAAGATGTTCCATCATACCGAAAATTTTGAATTTTTAACTAACTTTAGGAAGGAAATTCTCGTTGTGTGGGCAACAATAACGACATATTGAAATAAAAATACTTTTCGTTTAAAGGCTAAAAACTAATTTGCTATTGAGGCAATAAAATGGAGACCAATGGTGCAAAGAAGAAAATTGCAAATTTAATAATCTAATTAACAATGCCTATTTGAGGGAGTAAAATAACATGTATCAAACAAAGTAGTAGATTGATGATATGTGGCGTTACTCAATAGAAGCTAAGAATTGTATTCATGTCGTGTCCGCCAATCTAACATATCAAATGTGTCACAAGGCTTATATGTTTGATAAATGGATGGTGGAGATCGTATATTACGTATAAATGTGCATCAAATGGGTTAAAACATGGAGTTTGTCGTTAGCCTTCAGTAATGCATATTGAATGTGTTGACCTAAAAAATCCAAGGGGGACTTGCAGCCAATAGATTTCATGCCAGTCCCTGACTGCTTGTATATTACTTGTACACTCGAATGCAAACGAAGCCATAATTTGTCATGGGTATATGATGATAATGTCTGCCAATCTAACATATCAAACGTGTCACAAGGCTTATATGTTTGATCCAAATGCTATTATTTGTAGAGTGCCCTGCTATGTTTGCTGAAGAATACATTGATGAATAGCAGAGGGAGTTGACAACTCAAGCCCCAATGGAATATGGGACGAGAAAAGAGATGCATCTTTCCTACGAATAAATAGTACCTCATGTGTGTGGCAATTAGGACACTGTCCAGTGCAGAGAACTGATAGACGGAAATTCGTTCAATATCAATGAAGCTAGCAGAAAGCAAATCCATAGTTTGAACCATAAATAGTTACAGTTCCACCATAAAAGTTCAAGTGAAAACAAGTAATTTCTTTAAGTTATTTCTTCGAGGAAGGTATGGGTAAAATCCACTGTTAATCTCTCGTCTAATAGTATATAAAAAGAAGACTTTGACAAGACCTATCGTTATTTATAGCTCAACATGGTCGTTCAGGAAATGAGATTTCAATTGATTTTTGACTTCAGTAATGGCGCTGTGATCTATACCCTCCTAGATTTCAGTATTCTTACTATTGCATCCTTCACCGTCTGTCTTGCCTCTAGTTTTCTTAGGCTCGGATTCCTCCATTAACCTTCATCAAAATCCACTATTACTGGTGCTGCATCATGTTTACTAATTCATATGTTCTTTAGCATTCCAACAGTTCTTCAAACACTAAACAAAGCCAGCTTATCTTCAATAAATCAATTGGTTTATACCAATTTCCTATTTTATTGTAACTTGCCAGTTAGGAAGTAAAACCTTTTAAGTGAGAGTTAAACAGAATGCCATAACACACTAAAAATATATATACATACAGGAAAATTGATACAAAAATTACATTAATAAATTAGTACCGCGGTTCAAAATTAAAACGAAATGAAATTATGAAAAGCTTTGAGACAAACCCACATAAAAAAATTGTTTTGCAATCTGAAATAAAGCCTTTGACTTTAGGCCCAACTTCATAACTTCAATCAATCCAAGCAAACAAGAAGTGATCTTGGAAAAAAATAAAGAAAAGACGGAATTTTACCTAATAAATATAGCCTCAAAAGAAGACACCGAGTCCTAATAGCTACATTAAAAAAAAAAAAATGTGTAAGAGATGCATACCTTCAGGGCCTGAAAAGTGAAGAGGATCAGTGAAACTGAATCAGGAATTGTAATCTGATGAAATAGAGGTGAGGCTGGAATCTCTTTAACGTTGCCCTTCCCAGTTATCATATATATCATTCGTCACTAATATAATATTATCACAGTCAGGGCCGGTCCTGTGATCCGCGGGGCCTGAGGCGAAGTCCGAAA